TAGATTAGATTAGAAATGATAGAAAGTATCAATTGTTAATTTTAGATCAAATTCTTATAAATGTAATCCAATTTTCTCTCTCTCTCTCTCTCTCATGCTACATTTGATAATAGACAGAGTGATCAGGGACAATAAACTTTATAAGTAATTTACTAAGCTTTAGAAATGTCAAACCTTTGGTGAAATGTGTGTGTATTTAGTAGACTTACGTGATTTCTAAAACAAACATTTCCAGTATGCATCCCAAAAAAATGTATATATTGATGGTCTACAATATTGGAAGACGTTATACAATAGACAAAATCTATTGAGCTTCGGCGTTATTGGAATAATTTAAAAACATTAGAGGCGAAGCTTTTCTAAAGTGGCCATTCAAAACCGGACTTAACCAGACCTAGCAGAGCGTTGACATTTTACACAGAGTTTCCAGAATGTTGATATTACATAGGAGTTTACTAAACGACTGTGTTTTATAGGCTGCTGTGACGTCCATAATAATAACATATACCACTCAAAAGCTATCTTTGCCTTGGAAATAAATACGACGGTCCATCTTGCTTTCGTAATTCAAGAAAACTCATTTACCTTCCTCACAATTTAACAATGCCAGCCTTGTATTACACAACCTAATAACTGTTCTTTTTTCTTTTGGAAATCTGTTTCACACATCACTAAACTAAAATCAATATTTTGAAGTCCGAGTTTTTCATTTATATTTTTCTGTTTATTTTTAAAAGACTTTCATAGAGAGTACAAATTTTAATTAGTATTAGGCCATTTCACTTAAATTCACTGAATAGAAATATCCGCAAAGCAATTACAAAAATACAACAACAAAAACGAAAGTGTCGAAACTCAAGATGTAGTTTGACAAAGATTCTGAAGCATGGTCGTCTGATTCCGGGGTCCTAAGAAACCTTGTAGAAAGAGAATACGTTAGATACAAAGGCATTAAACACATAACAAATAAAGCTACTTAAGTTAATCTATCTGATAAGTATTTCATTTCTTTAAAGCAATTTACAAATGCGTTTGTTTACGACTGTAAAAAGAAGTTATGCATTAACTTTCTTGTACATATTTATGCTACTTTATAACAGAGTTTTTCTTAGTGTGCCTTTTTTCTTTCTTTTTTTATTTGATTAAGATTGGTTAGTTACATATTTTATGTAGTTTTATTTATATTAGGTTATATTTATTTTACGATTACAAAAATATTTTTCCCCATCAGTTTAAAGTGATAAAGTCACGAGGTTATCATAGTTATTACTTAGTTGTTATTCACGACTACTAACGGATGTATTAAATCATTTGTCGAAACAACTATAATTAGATTCATCAAGTGGTCTCCCGGTGGTTCAGCGGTAAGCCAGTCGGCTTATAATGCTATAAATCGTGTTTCGATACTCACGGAGGAGGGAGCTCGGGTAGCCCCACTGTATAGCTTTGTGCATAAAAAAACCTGACAATTCATGAGGATGCTATTGACAAGCTGCCTTCCCACTAGTCTAGCAATTCAAAATTAGGGACAGTTATGCGCTGATAGCCAATGTGTAGGCTTAGGGCGAAGTTCTAAAACAAACAATAATATTTTTCTTACTTTAGAATAACTCCTAAAACAAAATAAAAAATAATTCCTAAAATATGCAATTTTAAGGCCATTATATCCAGATTGGAATGTTAGCAAGGCTTATTTGTTAATATAGTATATTGTTTATAAACTAGAAAAAAATCTCCAGATTTTATAAGCAAATGTGAAAATCTAAGCTATCGCATATGAAACGTGGTACAGCGTTCTAAATCATCCAGTATTTTCTATACATAATAATTATATCAACATCACTATAGCTGCTGTTAGATTTGTCTTTTTGCTACAATTATAAAACTTAAGTAATAAAAGTTCAAGATATGTTTTAACTCTCACCTTAAACATCAGGTAACTTTCAAAGCAAACGTCAAGGCCATGTTAACCGCAACATTTAGAATGTCCAAAACCACCTCGTCTCAAACCGCCTCCTAAACCACCGCCAGCACCTCCTCCAAAACCAAATCCACCTCCACCGCCATAACCACCTCCAAGACCCCGTCCTATGCCTCTTCCAAGGCCTCCTCCATAACCTCCTCCGAAACCACCCCCTCCTCCGAAACCACCCCCTCCTCCAAGACCACCCCCTCTTCCAAGTCCCCCTCCAAGACCACCGCCGTAACCACCTCCAAGACCACCACCTCTAAAACCACCTAATCCTCCATATCCTCGGTAGCCTCCATGTCCACCATAACCTTCATAACCACCGTAACCTTCTGGACTAATGTTTTCATTTCCACGGTTTCCGTCTCTCACGTAACCTCCTACAGTGAGAGCCCCTTTTTCTTCAGTGTTGACTGTAGTGGCTAAAAGCAGACTCACTATAATCAGAACCTGCGAAAACAAAAACAAATAAACTTAGTTTTATGTGTTATTACAATCATTTAACAAAACTGTGCTATCATAAGCTAGCTACCATTTTGAAAAGTACGGTAAAGAATAATTCTCAGGAATTAGTTGTAGATTAAACCAATTGTTCTAATGTCTTAGCAAACATGTAGGCCATAATATCAATTTTATCACAAACAAGGTTTACATTCAAACAGCTTCTAATGAAAAAAGTTCTATCAGTAATGTTATAAATAACATTAAGAATACCAGTTGATGACATCAGTCGTTGGTTTCTGATCTGTGGTAAATAATAAAAGTACTAATCTTACATTTGAATAATATTTTGACTCACCGAAGAAGGAACACTTACCCCTGCCTTCATTTTCAGACTAGGAGAATACCAAAGGGGATATTTTGGCTATAAATCACCGGCGAGTATTGGATATAGTCTGAAAATTATTGTGTTTATATAGTGCCTGGACATATCACCAGTAGGTGTAAACATTTAAGGTAAAAAATTCGAATAGCCATGACCCAAATTACGATTGTAAGATGCGACATTCACTAATTTGGTTTTCCCCACATATTTTGGCAGAGAAAGTGTCAAACGTATATCTGTTTAAAAAAATGTTTGGAAAGTTTCCGAAACTTAACTGAATTCAATCGATCTTACGAAAAAAGTATCAGTTATTTTGAATCATGCTACGCAGTTACCAAGATAAATAATTTGACCACTCAAAATTCTTGCAGAATGACTCTCTGATCCACCGCATAAGCATATTTAATAATGGCCTAGGTAAAGATGGATTTTCAGACCATCCTTTCCTTCAGCCAGTATTAAACCAACATTGATCTATAACATTAAAAATAGCTGAATCTTCATCTTAGCAATTAGTTTTTTTCACAGAAATATTATACAGGGAAATCCCTGTTGAACAAATCTACGTTTAGTTTTCTTTAAAATGATCACCATTTTTTTGCTTTGAATGTGTATTTGTTTTTTATCATCAAGTTATTTTCTATATGTGCAGTTCTTACTTCCGGGACAGCTTTAATCATCGCTTCGGGACAAATGAAATACTTTCTATTGATAGATTATTGTCATCAACAACCAAGGACCAATAATTATCCTATAGATGATAAAAAAAACGAACACATCGACATTTTCTGTTAAAAGCTAGCCAAATATGTTCGCTGAAATGACGAACACAGAGATTTTTTTCCTCAAAATAACACAATCGACTAAAACTAAACTGGCTTCAGATGATAGTTAAGTCATTACTTCTGAGAAAGGAAAATAATTCTACTGCTCATGTTATATAGAACGCGCCCCCGGTGGCTCAGCGGCAAACTTCAGTGCTTGTAGCGCAAAAAGTTTCGAGTTGATCCCTGTAGTGGATAAAGCGCAAATGGTCCAATGTACACTTTTGCGTACAAACTAAGGGTATGAAATACAATATATTTTTTATTGTACATAAAAAGCGTTTTATATCATGTTTACTAGGATGCTTATGACCTAATAATCACCAAACTGAAACTGAAACTTAGTATTTGATTTAACATTTAAAACAAATACTGATTTTCAAACACTTGGGAATATTTGACATATACTGGTAGGTTGTCCCTCTGGTTACATGTTATATCACAAGATTAAACCCGCAAAGTATTTTTTTTTTTTTTTTTTGCACAACTAAAATGTCAATGTAATTTATTGTATCCAATCAGTGTTGCATCTTTATCATATTGAGTGATATACAAAACACATTTACCTTTGAAGAAGTGAGGTTCACATTCCAAAAACAATCGGGTTTGGGGTTTCTCTTTTCTCAAATACAGTGCAAAGATAGCAGTAAATTGCACTTGAAATTTATTGAGCTTTTTCAATCAAATAGATTCGCATAATTTATTGTTATTATTGTTTAATCCGTTAGATTTAATTCTCCATGATATCGAAAAAAGTATTTATAAAACTTTCTGTCCGTTATCAACATTATAGCTTGTTTTTCAAGTTCAAATGTTATGTCTTTCCAGGAGGAAAAAAAACATAAATTCATCAGTGGTTGAAGCGCTTGACTTGCAATCTGAGGGTCGCGGGTTCGAACCCGGTTACCGAACATGTTCGCCCTTCAAGGGATACATAGTTGCAACGTTTGAGGGATATTTGACACCTATTGATTGTTGAACCCTTTGGTTACGTTTTGCGTACAGCTTAAACAAAAATTGCTCCTTCGTGAAATTATTTTGTGTACATTTAAAATGTTGTCACTACAAGTATAAAAATTTTGATATGAAAAGATATTAAATTAAATCATTTAGTCGTATTAATACTTATCCTGCTGAATCCGAAAGTTCGAGGCCCGTTCCCACAAAAACATGCTCCCTACTTTAGGGTCGTAGTTGCATTATAATAGTGACTGTCAAACCTCACTATTCGGTCAGACAAGAAACAACAAAGTTACTACTTTCTCTCTAGTCTGTCAGTTCAAAATTAGCGATGACTACACGCAGACAGTCCTCGTGTAGCTTTGCGCGAAAAACAGAAACAAAAAAAGTATGTTTGAAGTAGTAAAAATCAGAAGTCTGAATACTTTTAGCTATCGAACCGTTATCAAAGTTCACTAAATGCGGAAGGACAAGCATTTTATATTTAATAATACAACTTATATTGTAATCCTTTGGGATTATAATGTATAATCAGTCTAAAACATTGTTCTCTCAAACTGTTAAATGTAATAATATTTTTTATGGAACTTGAAGTAATGTATTTGTTTGTTTGAAGTTAAGCGCAGAGCTACACAAAGGGCTATCTGTGCTCTGCCCATCGAAACCCAGTTTCTAGCGTAGTAAGTCCGCACTGGGGGCGAAGAAATGTGAGTTTGATAGACTCGCAAAAGCTCATAGATTTAAATCATCAACATGTAACTTAGCTTTATACTGTTTAACAACCTATCTAATGTTAGTAATAAAATAACCTACTATATTTATTCACAAACTAAAACTATTAATGCTGTGATATCCAGGTATGTAACTACATACTTTAGATTTATACACTTATTACAATACGATTTGTTTGCCAAGTATTTTAATTTCATGGTACATTTTTTATTTGTTTAAGCGCAAAGCTGTCCACACATGGATCGAACTCGAAATTTAGTGTTAATGATCTTCAAGCTTACCGCTGTACCATGAGGAGGTGTATATTCTATTAACTTTCAATTGGATTTAACAAAAAATATGTTCAATCTATTAATCTGTTTGTTTTAACGTTAAAAAACCTTCAAACTCACCGCTGAGCTTGGCCTGGCATAGTCTAAAAGATTGATTGTTCGACTCGCAATCTGTTGGTCGTGGGATCGAAACCTATCGCCGAACATGCTCGTCCTTTCAGCTGTGGGGGTATTACAATGTAACGGTCAATCTCAATATTCATTGGTAAAAAGTAACTCAAGAGTTGGCGGTGGGTGATGTAGACTAAGTAGCTTCCATCTAGTCTATCACTTCAAAATTAGGGACAGCTAGAGCAGGTATCCCTCAAGTAGCTTTGCGCGAAATTTCCGGGCATACATTTTCGTAATTTTCAGTTAGATTTAACGAAAATATATAGAATTTATTTATTAATTTGTTTGGGTCAGAATAAAAGATCAATTTGCTTGTATGATAATGAATCGCATACACAAGAATGCTGAATATAATTTAAACTTTTTGTTGTGAATTTGCCGCAAGATACGCAGTTATAGTTGGATAGCTTGTATTTTTAAGTAAAAGAATCTATATTTTTTGTTGTTTGTATATTAACGCAAAGTGTTGACTTTTATTATATAGTAAAATACAATTATCATGAGTTGTTTTGAATGACAGTATAAGCACAGGTGGTTAAAAATATGAGGTTCTCACAGATGAAGTTAGACCCTGTTACATCAGCAATCTAGTTTGGATTATTCTCTTTTTATCAGGCTATGACATGGTATAACATAAATGATTTAGCCTAATTCCAGAACTGCGACAGTGATTGCAAACTAAAGTCAAATGGTTTGATTTTAGTTGTTGTTAAGCGCAAAGCTACACAATAGTCTATCTGTGCCCTTCTCGTCACGGGTATCGAAATCTGATTATCAGTGTCGTAAGCCTACAGAATTAACGCTGAGCCATTAGAGGGCAAATTAAAGTCAACGGATAGCTATGGACCGAACGTAAGCTTTGGTCAAGAGGGTTAATGATATTGTAATATTTTGTGTTCAACGTTTATTTACATTTCTGGAATGCATTTATTTAGTGTTTATTTCAACAAATTTTCACAAGAAACTAAGACTTAAGAAAGGTACAGTGAAGCTTCAAGAAAAAAACTTTTATTGTTAGAACTATTTAACTTTATGGTCACAGGAATTTGTCTAAAAAGCACCTCAGGAGTCAATCGTGGGTGAATAGATGCTATTTAGCCACCACTGAAATAATTCGTCACCACCGGATCTCATATAATGCCTCTGGGATCTGTTAAATCAGCCTAGATAGGAAATGTAGAGACTGGACAGAAAATGAAGCAGAAGAAGCTTGTCAGCAAGTACTTAATTAAAGATCATGGTAAACAATCATCTGTCACCATAGCCACAAATTGTTCCTATACCATAGTTTGTGAAAGAGCTGATTGGGCATTAATCCTCATGCAAAGAAACAACATTCTGCATAAGGCTGACAGAGCATCCAAGTCTCCTACAAGCAGCACAAGGATGGAGCTGGAAGATATAAAGCAAACTCTCCTCCATATTGCATAGACAGTTCCACCAACATAATACTTGCGACTGATTCATAAGCAATACTGCATAAAATTCAGAGTGGTTGACCCCCTAATGAATGGAAGAAAGCAAATTAACTGCATGGTAAGTCCATCATATGGATGTATATGTCAGCCCATGCTTAGATATTCTAAACAAGGAAGCAGATAAGCTCCCATGATAAGTCCCTTTATCATATCCAAAACAACTCTACTAGCAGGATATTGAACCTCTCTGCACTAGTAAGGTAAACGCGGTAACCATGGAAGGTCTTCGTCGACACTCAGAGAGAATGAGAATGAAGCAAAACAAAATATTGTCTGGTGTACCTAGGCAAAGCAAAAGATGATGAATCAATAAAACAGTACACTGCTTAAAAGCCACTGATAATATCGGTAAAGGAACTCTCTTCTACCTCCTGCGAGTCCAATGGTCTTCACAAAAGGGGTCAGTGCCGGGCAGCGCAACCCCTGAGATTGTCACCTTGTGCTCGACCCAGCTCAACTCAATTTTGAAGAACACATTGTCGTTAATAACGCATTTGTAACAAAATTAAACTGGAATCACAACAAATGAAAAGAGCCTAGAATTGTTTATGTGGTTAATAGATAAA